ATCTCAATTGTGTAATTTATTATAATTTAATATTTGATCCTATAACATTTTTTCCATCAATTCTTGAATCAATAAAAATTGATTATTGCTTATGTGTAGCTTTGCAATATAAAGGAAATAATGTTCCACTTCCTCCATGGTTATCTAAAGGTCGTAATTCTAAATTAACTAGTTTGAGTATGCTAAAAAATCTTGCAGCCTACATAAATAATACCGCTTCTTCTAATAGAAATATACTTCTTGATGAAATAAATAGTCGAACATACTATAAAGCCAAGGGTCAACCACAATATTCTGCTGATATGATTAGACATGCTTTATTATTAAGATATACATCTAAACAAGCATATGAAAATTTACTAGAATCATTTCCATTACCTTCAGTTTCTTTGTTAAATAAAATGAAACAAGGTTGAGTTGATGCAATAAAGGCTGTTAAAACACTTCGTGAGAAAGGTTCAATACATGAAGATGTAATATCAATTGTAGATGAACTTTGTCTTCAGAAACAAGCACAATATTGTAGTGGTATTTATGTGGGTGCAGATGATACAGGTACTTTGTACAAAGGAGTTGTTGCATTTATGATGTTTAAAAAAATCAATTCCTTTCATTATTAAAGCGATACCTGAAGTTAACATAAGTGGTAAATGGCTTTCAGATCAAATATCCAATTCTATTAGTTCTTTTTCGCTATCTGGTTTTAAAATTCGAGGTGTTGTTACCGATAATCATAAATCGAAAGTGCATTTAGTTTGCTTCGTTCCAATTTTGATAGTCCAAATACTAAAATATACATATTTTATGATAGTGTTCACCTTGTTAAAAATATCAGAAATAATTTATTACACTGTAAAAAATTTGTCTTTTCCATCCTTTACATTCAATATAAAAGATAATTCTAATAATTGTCCAGCTGGTTATATTACTTGGGGAAATTTTCATCATCTACATTCTAAAGATGAGAAACTTCAAGGCAATTTACAAAAAGCTCCAAAAATTTCATATCAGAGTTTTCACCCTAGTAACAAAAAGCAAAACGTTTCTCTTGCACTATCAATTTTTGATGAAACAACAATTGCAGGTTTCAAGAGTTATTTTCCAGAACGTAAAAACATTTCTGGTTTTCTTACAATTTTTCACAAATGGTGGACTATTTCAAATTCTAAAGAGCGATTTAACCCAAATAAACTTGGTAATGCGATTATTCTTAATGATGGTAAAACAACTTTTTTTCAACAGTTAGCTAATTGGATTGAACTTTGGCAGAAATCTCCATATTTTACCTTATCACAACAAACATCATCGGCTCTGCGTTCTCAAGCAATACTTATAGATGACTTTATTGAAGAAGGATATTTATATGTACTTTCTTCACGGCTTCAAAGTGACCCAATAGAGCGTAGATTTTCGCAATATTGACAGATGAATGGTGGAAAATTTCTAGTTAGCTTACTAGAAGTTCAACATTCTGAAATTATTTTAGTATGTCGGTCTTTAATTAAGGAGAATATATATTTTTGGGATGAAGATCTAAAAAACAACCACAATAACCCAATTAATAATGAATTACTGGCAATATTAGATTTAAACTCAAACGAGATATCTGAATCAACTCTCTCACCTGAAACAGATGAAGTTGCAAGTTACATTGCTAAAAAATTAATCAAAAGAAGCAAATGTAATTATTGCAAACCTTTGCAATAATAGCTAATATATATATATATATATATATATATATATATATATATATATATATATATATATATATATATATATATATATATATATATATATATATATATATATATATATATATATATATATATATATATATATATATATATATATATATATATTATATATATTAGGCTTGGTCGGGAAGCGGGTGCAATCGCACTCGATAATTGACCACGGAAATATTATTTAGTTGCGAAAAACCGACCAGATTTTTTAGTCGTTTTGAGAACATTTCAAAAACAAACAAAAAAGCGCAGTAAGATTAACTGGACCGACGAGAGACAGTTAAAAAAGAAAAATAGCTTTTAACACGAAAAAACGCGAAAGGCACTTATTTTTGAAACGTTGCTCTTTTATAACTTTTTTTATAAAATAAAGCGACATTTTTTGTATAAAGTAACAACTATAAAGAGACAAATGTTCTTTGATTTATCAAAGAGTATGTATAATTTTTATTTATATACTTATGTCTTATTTCCAGTGCTGGATTGAGGAAGTGGGGTGGGGGTAGTAGGGCTTTAGCCGCGGGACTCACAATGTTTGGGGAAATAATGGTCAAGAAGACTATTCGGTATTTTTTAAAGTCATTTTTACGCTGTGGCACATAAAAAGGCCGCCAAAACAGTGCAGCCTCCGTACCTGAAAAGTCCAACAAGATTCAACCAGATGATTTATTTATAAATAAAAAAGTTTTTTCAATAACTGTTTTATGCTTCGCGTAGTTTAAAAAGTTTAACAGATTTGAAACGATTCTTCTTAATAAGATGAGCAAATGAAATAATTAAATCATTGAGTTACTGTAGCAATTCAATTAGCTAGATAGAAATTAACAAAAAACGTTAAATTACTTTGAGAGGAGGAAGCGGAACTGCTTCACAACACCGCTGATGATGTTTAGTAAGTGGACTTCATAATTTTAATTAGTATTTAAAATAGAAAAAAGTAACTTTAAGTATAACGAGTTTGTAAGAATGGCTGAAGCAAAAATAGTAGAAGTTAGTAAACCAATTTCTAAGAACTTAAAAACTTTTCTTTCTTGGGAGAAAGAATCAGTTATCGGGTACACTGAGGAAAATGGATTAGTGGTTAAAATTATCTGTATTAACTTTGACGATTATTAATAATTTCATTGAAAACGCAGTTATTATTAGAAGTATTTTTGTTTACAAAATCAATCGCACAAATTGCTTTAAAAGATTACATTTGAATAAAATACAGAGATAAAATAACATAGATAAAAATACATTACATACATAAAAATACATTACATACATAAAAAATACATCCCTTATATATAAAAAATAATAATATACTAATAAAATCTAAAATGTATTTAAAAACGTTGACAAGTTAAAAAATATAATTTAAAACATTTATTATTATAAACAAATGTTAGTTTAAACTATTTATAGCTTTGCAGATGTAGCTCCAAGAATTAAAATATTAGTTCGTTTGATAGTATACTCTTAAAATAATTTATGCTAGAAATCTTAACAAAAACGTAACAAAATTCAAATAATACAGTTTTTTAAATATTTCAACAGAATATTCAGGACATTTGGTTAGTTTTTTTTGAATACTCTAGAAATTTCGGTTAGTATTTTTTGAACCAATAAAATTAGTTGTTTGTAGATTTGGCGGGTTTTTTGTGTTCGCGAATATTCTTTTTTTATTTTTCCGCAAGACGTTTGAGAACATTTAAGTGTATGTACGTTTCCATGTAAGTCCGTAAAACAAAATTTACGACAAAATGAACTTATTATTTTGCGGACAAACCAGGAAACATACATAAACTTCAATGTTTTCAAAACGACTAATAATCTGGCCAGTTTTTTGCAACTAAATATTATTTCCGTGGACAGTTATCGAGTCCGATCGCACCCGCTTCCCGACCAAGCCTAATATACATTATATATATATATACATATATATATATATATATATATATATATATATATATATATATATATAATATATATATATATATATATATATATATATATATATATATATATATATATATATATATATATATATATATACATATATATATATACATATATATATATATATATATATATATGTATATATATATATATATATATATATATATATATATATATATATATATATATATATATATATATATATATATATATATATATATATATATATATATAATAACATAAAGATAGATAAAACAACAAAAGAACATTTCTTTATATCTAATAACTAGCTGTATATATTTTTGTTCTGTCGTTACCTCAGGCGCGGTGCTTGTTCATCTGCGAGTTACTTTGTATGCATCGTTTGTGTTTAGTAACCAGAAACTTCTTATATGCTTGTTACATAATTAGCTTTAATAACTTTAATAATTAACTTCCTTGAAAACGCAATTATTTTTGTAAGTCTTTGTTTATAAACTAAATTGATAAAAAAGCAGATACACAAAATTACATTTACATAAAAAATATACTTTTTAAATAAAAAATAAGATTATACTAATAAAATCTATAATTTATAATAAACTTTCAAATTTTTGACAATTTAAATAATGTATATTTACAACATTTATCTTTGTAAACAAATAATAATAGTTTATAAGATTTACGGCTCTGCAGAATAAGCTCCGATAATAAGCCATAATAATAATATATTCTTAAAAACAATTTATGCTAGAAATATCATAACGTAACAAGTCGTGAATGCAATTTATAAAACATTTTAACCGAAGTGTAGAACTTTATTTCGCTTAGTCAGCGTATTTTTAAACCAATAGAATTAGTTTGTTCGTTAATTTGGCGGGTTTTTAGTTTCGTAAAACAAAAGTGTTTTTTTTCGTACATTTTCGTGGTCAGAATTCGAGAGCGATCGCTGCCGCTTCCCGACCATGCCTGAATAAAAGTGGTGGAGTCCAGGCGAACTGAAATAAATTGTAATCAAAATGAAATAAATCAGGCTAGGCGAGAACTCAATATGTATAATATGCATCGCATAGCAAGAAATAATATTGCTACAAAGAGTAATTACTTTGGAGAATTCAACCATAAAGCCCGTTCTCCATTCAGAACTTTTTGCGCTTTGGAGGAGCGGAAAAGTTCTTTGATCATGCGCAAAAAGTTCTGATTGGAGAACGGGTTTAAAATTTTCCTTCCCATGAGAAGGTCGCTATTGTGTTTGTGGGAGATGATGGTGCTCCACCTGCATCCAGGGAAGTTGTTATATACCCTCGAGGTCAGCCTTTAAAAACAATTTCATCTATGTCTGCAAATTTAGATCCTATGGTATATCCAATATTTTCCCCGAGAGGTGATGCTGGATGGCACAACCAACTGAAGCACAACCCTAACCACACAATTCGTGTTAGAAACCATGTTACTTTGTCTCAGTATTATAACTATAGGCTGGCGGTTAGACAAACTTTTAGTCCTATATTCTATGGTAAGAAACTTTTTCAGCAATACGTTGTTGATGCATATGTCAAAATTGAGGGACAGCGTTTTGCTTTTATTAGAAATAACGAAAACAAACTTAGAAGTGAACAATATGATGCATTGCATGAACATGTAATTAATTGTGCAAATGATTTTAATGTAAGACCAGGCCGTGTTGTTATATTGCCTTCTTCATATGTTGGTAGTCCAAGAGCACTAAAAGAAAACTTTGAAGATGCGATGGCAGTCACAAAGAAATATGGTAAACCAAATCTAATCATTACTTTTACCTGCAATCCAAAATGGAGAGAAATAGTAGAAAATTTAAACCCTGGCCAAACTGCTAATGACAGACCTGATTTAGTTTGTTGGCTATTTAAAATGAAACTTAACTTTTTCTTAGAAGATATTTTCAAGCATGGAGTCTTAGGCAAAGTTGTAAGTCATGTGCAAATTATTGAGTTACAAAAGCGTGGTTTGCCACATGTACATATTTTATTGCACTTTGTAAACGCAGATAAACTAGAAACAGCAGAAGGTATTGACAATTTGATATCAGCAGAAATTCCAGACCCAGCTGTTGATCCTGAACTTCATGAAATTACAAAATCATGCGTGATACATGGACCATGTGGAATTTTAAATCCCAACTCTCCCTGCATGAGAGATGGAAAATGCACCAAAAAATTTTCTATAGAATTTAATCCCCACACTGTTGCAAGGTACAACAAAGTACACACTGGTACAAGTAAGTTGTTTTATTCACTTATACTTGACTTCTTACATTGATTGATTGGTTTTATTGCATTTTCTATCTCTAGCTGCTGATTCTTCTGTTTCAAGTAAGTTTTTATATTCATTTATACTTGACTGATTATGTCAATTGATAATTTTCAATGCATCTTAAATTTCCTTTTAGTTATCTCTAGCTGCTGCTTGTTCTTCTGTTAAAAGTAAGTTGTTATCTCACTTGAATTATTTTGACTTATTACATTGATTGACTGTTTTTATTGCATTTTTAATTTTCTTTTATTTATACCTAGCTGCTGCTTTCTCTGGTACAAGTAAGTTTTCTATTCACTTATACTTGACTTCTTACATTGACTAGTTAATTTTATTTTGTTTTTAACTTTTTTATTTCATTTCAGTTGCTGTGTCTTCAAATTCAAAAAGTAAGTTTTTGTACTTGCCATTAAGCTAATTCACTTTATTGTACCTTTCGTTTTTTAATATAGCTACAGATGTGTTTTCCAGTTTAATTAGTTAATGTAATAAGTCAAGTACAAGTGAGTATAATAAACAAGTTGTTGTGCTCACTTGTACTTTAATACATTTATTACTTTTGTTTTTTATAGTAGATTTTTTGTAAGTATCACCTTGGTAGATTTATTTATATATAATTTTTTTTTCAGACTCGAAATCTTGGGAAGACTTCAAAGAATATCGCTCCCAGCATCCCGACCCTCTATCCCAGAGGGCATTTGATCGCTGGTGCAGGTATGGGGAAGACCATCCTTCTTTTAGATGGAGGGATGGCGTCCCATACAACACCAGGGAAAAAGGAGGTGCTGGGAGGAGAAGGCGTGGCGCAACAGTTGTAAATAATTTCTTCACATTTTAGATTTACAACTGTTGTGCCACAGTTTTTTTTTTTTTTTTGTAACTTTTTGTTTTTTAATTTTTCCCATTAATTTTTATACCATCAAATTAATTAAATCATTTAAATAAAGACTTTTATTAGCAATACTCATGGACAAGAAATAAAAGTTACAGTGAAACGTTTGATAAAGTTAATGCTAATCTCAAAGGGACTTGGTTTTCACACAACCAAATTCTATGTAGCATGTTCCAGAACCAAAACATTTTATAATTTATTGTATAACTTTGATTAACATGCACTACAAGGTATCTCATTGAATGTATATTACACAAATAATATATTTCATTTTTAAAATGTGATTTTTGTAATGGATTTTGATAAGTATTAATATGACTCATGATGTGGTAATTGCTTATAATGTGTTATTTCCTATATGTTAATATATATGTGTTATAAAGTAAAAGATTTATGTTTTTTAAATTTTTATTTATGTTTTTATAAGTGTGTGCAGTTAGTAGTTTAAATATGTTCAATAAACTCAGGATGACTCAACCCTCAACAATATAAACTATATTGACTCAACCCTCAACAATATAAACTATATATTATACTCCCAATAACTCTAATCTTCTTTAAACTAAACTAATTTCTTTGTCCTTTAAAGGTGTGGGTTATCTTGAGTTTACTTTAACATGTTCTGTTAATTAATTGTTGTGATGTTTTATGCTAACAGGCTTAGCTCATATTCATGTTGATCTTTCAGGGTTATGGAAAAATAAAAAGTAAGTTTCTTATCCACTTATTCTCATTTTTGAGTTTTCAAAAAAATTAGTTGATTGCATGACACGTTAATTTATAATTAATGTGTATTATGTTTAAAATAATTTTGTTCCATTTTTAGGTCGATATCCTTTTCTTATGACTGACTTGATTATGGCCTACCTAAAGCCTAATAATAATGAAATAATGATTCAATTTAAATTGTTTTTTAAGTATTTTTGTTACTTTTAAATATAAAATTTTTTTTGTAATTTTTTTTAAAGTTTATATTTTTATTTTATCTCAAGAAAAATAAGTGTTTCTTAAGTAAATATCTATATTTTAAAATATCTATATATAAAAAAATCTTAAGTAAATATCTATATTTTTAAATATCTATATATAAAAATATGTATCTCAAGAAAAATATTTGTTTCTTAAGTACATATCTATATATTTTTGGTGCTAAAATTTAGAAGATTTAAGCTCTGTCTAAAAATTATGTTTTTTATTGGTTTAATTATTGGTAATGTGTCAGTAAACTAATGTGTAAACTGCAAGTTACCTTTATTTACTTTTAAAACAAAGTTCTAAAGGATTGTGAGGTTTGTTTTTAAAAGGTTTTTTGTATTATTTGAATTTATTTTGGAATTCATTTTACTCCATGTGGTAACTGCCTCTATTGCTCAGTATCGTTAACCATTGTTAGAAAGTATTTTTTAGTTGATGTTTTACGGGTTCTTACCTCAATAGGATTTTATGTTAATGCAACGTCCAACATCAAATGTTTAATGGTGTAATTAGCAGTGGTTATTATAAATTTGCTTTTAATAACATTTTGAAGATGATAATATTTAAATTTGTTAATAATCTAAAAATGTGGACTGTGCTCGGTAGGTATGTATTTTTTTAAACTTTTAAAATTTTTAAAAACTTTAGCATATTTTCTTATGAAATTACATTTCCAGTGCTATAGCCCAAGGCCCCGCAGTTGTGGAGGCCCCAATTCATAAAAAAAAGATATTTTAAAAAGACACTCTGAAAATAAAATATTTGATTAATCACATGGAAAGGGGCCTCCAGCTATAAAATAGCTCCGGGCACCAAAAATTCTAAATATAACACTGTTTGTTTTCATAATACATCATATTTTAAATAGAAGAAAATTTTATGTAGAAGAGAATAAATATATAAAAATAAAGTTAATGAACTGAAAAAATCTGTGGAACTTATTTAATAAAAAATATGAACATAAAAACATAAAAAACGAAGCAACTAATTTAAAAAAAACAAACGATATAAGTAATCAAGGCAAAGAGAAGATGAAATTATTAATTAACTGGCTGAATTAGAAGATCGCAGCCGACGAAACAATCTTAGAATCAATGGTATCGAAGACATGTGATAACGAATCAAGAATTTATTAAATCAAATTAAGTATTACGTAAATATAGATATACTAAATAATAAATATAGTATATAGTATATTATTTAGTATAGATATACTAAATAATAAATATAGTATATAGTATATTATTTAGTATAGATATACTAAATAATAAATATAGTATATAGTATATTATTTAGTATAGATATACTAAATAATAAATATAGTATATAGTATATTATTTAGTATAGATATACTAAATAATAAATATAGTATATAGTATATTATTTAGTATAGATATACTAAATAATAAATATAGTATATAGTATATTATTTAGTATAGATATACTAAATAATAAATATAGTATATAGTATATTATTTAGTATAGATATACTAAATAATAAATATAGTATATAGTATATTATTTAGTATAGATATACTAAATAATAAATATAGTATATAGTATATTATTTAGTATAGATATACTAAATAATAAATATAGTATATAGTATATTATTTAGTATAGATATACTAAATAATAAATATAGTATATAGTATATTATTTAGTATAGATATACTAAATAATAAATATAGTATATAGTATATTATTTAGTATAGATATACTAAATAATAAATATAGTATATAGTATATTATTTAGTATAGATATACTAAATAATAAATATAGTATATAGTATATTATTTAGTATAGATATACTAAATAATAAATATAGTATATAGTATATTATTTAGTATAGATATACTAAATAATAAATATAGTATATAAATATAGTATATAGTATATTATTTAGTATAGATATACTAAATAATAAATATAGTATATAGTATATTATTTAGTATAGATATACTAAATAATAAATATAGTATATAAATATAGTATATAGTATATTATTTAGTATAGATATACTAAATAATAAATATAGTATATAAATATAGTATATAGTATATTATTTAGTATAGATATACTAAATAATAAATATAGTATATAAATATAGTATATAGTATGTTATTTAGTATAGATATACTAAATAATAAATATAGTATATAAATATAGTATATAGTATATTATTTAGTATAGATATACTAAATAATAAATATAGTATATAAATATAGTATATAGTATATTATTTAGTATAGATATACTAAATAATAAATATAGTAAATAAACCCAGAAACAGACCGCAATATTTAAAGAAACTTTACACACGCAATATTTAAAACAAACTTTATACACGCAATATTTAAAGAAACTTTACACACGCAATATTTAAAACAAACTTTATACACGCAATATTTAAAGAAACTTTAAACACGCAATATTTATAACAAACTATTTAATTAGTATTTTATTATAAAATTTACTAAACGTTAATATCGACTCAAATAATTCAAATGATTTTGAAAAAATATTTAATCTTTTTCAAACAAACATTTTAAGTTTTACGAAGAATTTGATCCTGATTTAAACTATTCTAACGAAATAAATACTTCAGAATTTGTATGCAAATATCCAAAAGAAGTTAAAAGTTTTTTAAAATTTGATAGCAATAATTATTTGAACGTTGTCCATATAAATAAAAGGAGTTTAAGAAAGAGTTTTGAAAAAATTTTTCATGACATTTGCGAAACTGATAATTCTTTAAATTTAATTTTGCGTAACTGAAGCGTGGTCTTCTAACAAAGATTTGAGAATAATTCAACCCTCCAACTCGCAGGTTCTAATAATTTTTAAATTTCCTTATATAATAATCCAATTATTATATAACGAAATTTATAAAAGCGTAAAGGAGAAGTACTTTTTTTTTTGTTAGGATTAATCTTCTGTGTAACATTTATGATGAGAGATTTTAACTATTGAAATTATTTTAAAAAAATCAAAAAACCTGCTAATAAGCTGTTGTTGCCTCCAAATGGAAAAACTAAAGACCTCAGCAATTTTTTACAAAAGAAAGTTCTAGAAAAAATTAATCTCGAAAATAAAAAAAACTATTTGATTGGCGATTTCAACGATTGTTTTGATTATTACAAAAATCTAAATATCTACAAAACTTTACAATAATTTATTTAAAACAAGAACAATACTAGTAATAAATCGACCAACAAGATTTCCAAATTATTCATCCACTTTAATTGACATAATTTTAACCACTGACTTTTTTAATAAATCGCTCAAAAAAGGAATAATCAAAACAAATGTATATGATCATTTTCCTACACTTTTTTCAATAATTTTAGATTTAAAAAAAAATACAAAAAAGAGTCACCATAAAAAAAATTTTGTTTAACAACATTAAGTTAAACTCCTTTAAAGAATACTTTTCGCTAATAAATTGGAAACATCAACTTTAAAAATAATATAAACACAATTTAAAGCACTTTTTTTAAAACATTGTATAAAATCTATGATTCAAAATTTCTTATGTGTGAAACAGTTCTAAAAACAAAAGACATATCATGTCCATGAATTACTAAAGGGGTCGTCCATAAATTACGTCACGCTATAAGAGGTGGGGGGTGGTTTTGTGACGACTCATTCAAAACTCGCTTCTTAAGTGTTACGATTTTGTGACGAGGGGGGGGGGTTGAAAACGGTCAAAAATTGCGTGACGTAATTTATGGACAACCCTAAAGGTCTTCAAAATCCTCAAAAATAAAACAAAAGCTATATATAAAAAAAACCACAATAAAATTAACTATATAACCTATAAAACTTTATTTGAAAAACTTCGCAAAAAAAAAAATTACTACTCCTAATAAATAAACGTAAAAATAATTCGGGGGGGGGGGGGGGCGAGAAAGACCTCAATTTTTCCAACTGCTTAACATAGATTTCCAAACTGTTTTTTTATTTTAAGAAATCAATATCTGTCCTCTCAGTATTTTATTAGTATTTATTAACTAGTTCGCTTTAAAAAAAAAACACTCGCTTTACATATATACAAAATATTCAATTCAAAAAAGTAATATGAAAAATATTATTGAAATTGAAGTTTCAAAAAGAGTGCAACATTGCTCTACTAGAATTGTTCCATCGTTGACGAAATTGACATCCGACTAAGGTTGAAACGTTACATACAATATTTTATCTTTAGTCTATCATTTTGTGTCTCATTTTTACAATGATGTTTCTTCAATTAAACCCATCCTTTAATTAGATGTTTGGGGTTACAAAGTTCTTTTTTGCATTCCTTTACAAAGTTCTTTTTTGCACTTGAGTAGCATGAGACTATTTAATCTCTCATCACTAATTGTTGTTCTCAGATCTGATTTTACAATATTGAGTTGACTGAAAGAACGCTCATTTGATGCTACACCATAAGCAGCTGTGATTACAAAAATGCATAGTTTATTGGCTTGTTTCATTATGTCCTTTAATTTCACAACATGGTACAAAATGCCGGGCAGCATCTTTACTGGTATTCTTGATGACTTAAATTCTTCATCGCCTTCTCCTAAACAGATATCAATCAAAGCTTCCATTTAATACTGTCAATGATATTGAATTGACTTTCTAGGATTTCTGTTAATATTTTTATCTTCTCAAAAAAAAATTTTAAAAAGATATTCTTTATAAACAAAAGAATAACAATAAAATCAAAAGTTTTTTAATTGCTTTAGTTCTCATGTTAGTATCGAAAATTTTATTATTTAAGAAAAAGTTATTTTATTATTTCTGAAAAAAATCAATAATCTTCTCTAAACACTGGTTTGAATAAGATCGACTACACAAGCAATGCCCTGACAGGCTTTGCTCATGCGG